CTATAAACCCAAATGGAACACTTTCGCTAATGACAATAGAGATTCTCGGTAAATGATTATAGTTTCTAAGAAAATGTAGCAGTTGGGTAACAGTACAAGGTAGGGCTACAAAAAAGCAGGCTAGATAACACGAACAAAGCACTATATATGCCAGGAAATCTGTAAGCTTCACATAGATTGTCTCATTTAATCCTCAGAACAACTTTGCAAGGTAGGTACAATCAGTGCTGCTCTAATGATTGTTTTGAAAAAGTGTATTTGTTCCAAATCAATTGATATATTAGGGTACAATCTAGGCATAATGGGGATTTTGTGTTTGCTTAGGCATAATTTCATATGCAAGAAATAGTAGGGGAAGGCACAAAACTGCACTCAGCTAAAATGGGCTGTACAGGAGTAAGCAACCATCCCCAGTTCAAACTTCTGCCTCAGATCACCCTGTGTTTATTATGGGCCACAGTCAGTCACAACTGAAAGTATAATTTTCCTTCCAGTTTCAGATTGACCCTCCTTCTATTGCTGAATTCAGAAATACGGCTTTTCCAACATCCATTTCCACAATCAAACCTCAGATCTTTTTCAAGGTAAAGAGCCATATTCATTGTAGTATTTGTTGTTTTGTGAATTTTTTAACCAGGTAATATGTCAAACTATGTTCTTTTTTATTTTTTTTTTAAAGATTTATTTATTTATACAGAACTAGGGGACAGGCCAGAGGCATTGGGGTTAAGAGGATTCACCAGAGACAGAGTAGGTAGCAGAATGGGCAGATGTACTGTAATACACTGCTGAGGGGAGCAGAGAGCAGGTCAGGAGAGGTCTGCCACACCATGTGGGTCACCGCCCTGGTTGGGATCAAACCCATGCTGCAGTGGCTGCAATAGCTTCATAGTACTGTGCTTTAACCTGCTGAACCACAGGGAGAGCCTACTATGTTCATTTTTTATTAGGTTCTTTTATTTTCCTTTTCAATGCACCACCAATGAAGTTTATGAATGTTATGTACCTAACTCCATTTCTCCAATAAGCCTGTAGTTTTCATTATATAAATCACATTTAGGAATATATATGTTGCATTATAAAGAACTGACGTATTACTGTTACTACCACTTTATATATGAGGAAACTAAGTCTCATATAGCTTACATTACATTATTTGCCCAAAATCATGTTGTAAGTGGTAAAACAGGCTTTGAAGTCAGACAGTCTAACATGAGAGCCTCTACTCTCAAGCACTACTTGTCTATCAGTACATGTATAATATTAAAATAGACAAGATGTTGAATTTTCAGGTAATGTATTTTTTTTTAATTTTATAACTTTTTAAAAAGTTTATTTCTATACTAGTTCTCGTCTTTTCATTCATTGTGAATATATTTTCCTTACCTACCACATTTATAAAAGCTGCTTCAAGATGTTTGCCTGCAAATTGTAGCATCTGGCTGATCTTGGGGTTGGTTCCTCTTTGTTTTTCTCAAAAACTGATTACACATTCTTGGTCTTCTTTTTTATTATGGTAAAGTACACTTAAAAATTACCATTTTGGGCCCTCCCTGGTGGTGCAGCTGGTTAAAGCACAGCACTAAGAAGCTAAAGCCACTTCTGCATGAGTTCGATCCCCGCCTGCCTAGGAGGTAATCCACATGGTGCAGCAGACCTCTCTTGACCTGCCCGCTGCTCCCCTCAGCAGTGTACTTCATCAGTCGGCCTGTTCTGCTCTCCACTCTGTCTCTGGTGAATCCTCTCACCAGCCCTGGACCTCTGGCCTATACCCCAGTTCTGTATATACAAATAAATACATCTTTAAAAAAAAATTTCCATCTTACCTTTGTTTATGTGTGAAGTTCAGTGGCTTTAAGTACATGTAGTGTTGGACAACCAATACCAGTATTCATTTCCACATATTTTCATATCTTCATAAGATGAAGCTCCCTATCCATTATACAATTCCCCATTCAGGTTCTTCTTATGCTCAGTAATTTGGGTAATATTTTGGAGAGTATGAGTGTTAACGTTGTAGAGATCATGACATTGTTATACTCTTTGAATGAGCACAGCTGCAGGTTTTTGTTTTATCTGACAATTAACTTTATGTTAACTTTGCCTCATTGCCTGAGCTCAAATTTATTTAACTTCCTTTATTCTTAGGTGTGCTGTTCTGATTTTACATGTTGATGAGCAATCAGCCAGGTACCTGGACAGAGGTATTCACCAATGCTGAGGCCCCTCCATTAGCTTTCTCCTTTCTTAGAACTTTCCCTTAACTTTTCAAAATCTGTAGCTTTTCTGAACATCATCCTTCTTCTTCAGGCCAGGAAGAATTTGCATTTATTTTTCTTGGGAGTTTTAGCTTCTTTAGGAAGTGCCAACTGTAGCTTTCATGTGCTAACTGTGTTAGGAAATTGTGTGTGCTAAATTGTATAAAAATCAACATAGGCCCTCCCTGGTGGCGCAGCGGGTTAAAGCACTGCACTACGAAGCTAAAGCCACTTCCCCATGAGTTCAATTCCCGCCTGCCCCGGAGGAGACCACATGGCGTGGCAGACCTCTCCTGACCCGCCCGCTGCTCCCCTCAGCAGTGTACTTCGTCGATCTGCCTGTTCTGTTCCCCACTCTGTCTCTGGTGAAGTCTCTCACCGCCCCTGAGCCTCTGGCCTGTACCCCAGTTCTGTATGTACAAATAAATAAATCTTTAAAAAAAAAAAATCAACATAGACATTCCCTATTAATTAAACAATTTAATAAAACTTCTGGAAATGCTCAGTGAGGTAGCTTGACAATAGAGAAGTCAGATCTACAAAAATTATATGGAATTCATGGCAAACCAATCACTGAATACTTGGTCTGATCTCCATTGTTCAGTTTTAAAAATGGTTTAAGTAATTAAGTATAAGTATCTGCTTACATTTAGGTTAAAACAATCATTTTAGTTTCTTTTTCACATCTAATGGCCTGAGAAATGCACAATTTAAAAATTCAATGAAGTAATAGAACTGAAAGTCATTCTTTATGATAATTTTCATTTATCAATTCTTTCAAATGCCTTTTCTTGAGAAATAAGTAACTGAAGAACTGAGTATACCTAGTTAGATATCTTCATTAACTTACTTTTATATTTAATCATGAAAAAATTGAGGAATATAAACGTATAGTAAAAAATCTGGTGCATTTTTTAAATACCATTATATTTGCACCAGTTGGTAGTATAGTCTATTGTGGTAATCCCGTATCACTCAAATTTTATAGAACATTTGAGAAGCTGAGGTCCAAAACTTAGCTATTAATACAGTTCAAGAAAAAAATTATCAGTTCAAACTATGTTGTTTTCAAATTAAGTGGATAAAAAGATGTGGACTATAGTCCACAACTTCAGATCAAAGGGCACTATATTCCAATATTGGTTATTTACAAATACAAAGAGGGACCAAAACACAATCTTGGTCTAGTTTTGTAGGATATAATCACTTTCAGATTGATAAACACACTAATTTATATGGTTTTTCATTTATAGTAATCTATGTACTCCGTATATTAGAATAGTCAAGCCAGAAAGTCATAGCAATCATAATATTCCAGATATCATATCGACTGTACAACACTGCCCGCATTAAGTAAACACAGAGAGCATCAGGCTGAAAGAGTGCTATTATCAGTGAGCAAAAACTCAATAGCAAGCACAGGTTCCCTTTCTTTAACTCCATTTTTACAAAGTAACTCACTGAATGAAACAAATCAACAGAATACTTGGAAATATCTGATTGCTTCAAAAGTGCCTTAAATGTAAGGTAAATCTAAATCATGAACGTAAACTAAATTATTCATAATAATTTGGTCATAAATATGAAAACCTTCGGTTAAACCTTCAATAATATTACTCACATCCTAGTTAAGGATAAGGACAATCCCAAAGCATGCAGAAAATGGCCAACTTACTACATCAGCTTACGAGACAATGAGTGTGGCTTATCAGTAGTGAAAGGTGGCAGAATGAGAGCGACCCACACAGACACAGCAATTACAAAGAGAGAGACAGACACTAATGAAAGAGAGACACAAGGAGATAATGCCAAGACACAGACACTAGACTGTGGAGGGTACAGTTGTTTGAAGTGTCAGAAAGATACCCAGGTTGAGAGAGAGGGGACAAAAACAGAGACAGAGGGGGGGAAATGGGCAGTGATGGCGGGGTGGATTCACAAAACCAAAGGTAGTGTCAGACGGAAAGGAAAAACTAGAGTGAAGCAATGGTAAGACTGAGCATAAAGCCTAATGGAAAGTCTGCAGCAAATGAGTAAAGAATTCTTTTCCAGTCTCACCGATCAAATCAGGTTCTCCACTGGTGGAAAATGGAGATTTAGATATATGAAGGATTGGGAAGTCCCTGTTTTATACAGGGGTGATTCCTCTTACCTCTGTCTCTAAGTCAACTGCTTTAAACAATGATTTAAAACATAAAATCTGGTAAGTTATACCACTTCTAAAAAGTATTTAATGGTTTTCCCATCACCTGCAGGGCAAGGCTAGCAGCACTTACCCCTTCAGCTCTTGGTCTTGCCTATCATTCTGGACAGCCTTTTAAGTTTCCTGAAATCACCAAGCTGTTTCATAACTCTGACTCTATGCACTCTTCTTTTCATATTCTGTATAATAAATCACTTCTTATAAGTTCACAGTCAAATCTTAGCTTTCATGAAACTCTCTGACTTGTTTCCTCCTACTTCAGAATTGCAATAATGGTCTCAAGCCTTCTATTATGGTATTATAATACTTACCACATAATATAACACTTACCATATACTCTTATTTTTTTATCTGTTTTTCTTTGATATTAAAACTAGAATGTCATCTCTTTGCATCATACCATCTTACATAAAATCTTAAAGAAATAAGCACCTAGTAACTGTTGAATGGACAGACTAAAGAATGAGCAGGCCTTAGCTGCTTGATCAGAGTAAACAGGAAAATAAGTAACATAGATAAAACTGAGAACAGACTCTTACCTGTCTGGAGTTGGTTAAATACAATTTTGCTCCCAGGTTTAAAATTTGCAGTTTTACAAGGTCATCTTCACTAGTGAAGCTTTTAGCTGTCTTCCTTAAAACATCAGGAGCAATTTTAGGCACTCTTTCACAGTTTTCTCCTATTAACCAAAGAATACTTGCTCTAGCCACAGGAACCTAGTAGAAGCAGATTATATAGGTACAAATAAGATCATCATATCTTTTAAATATTAACATGTAAAAAAGGCTTTAAGTATTATATTTTATATCTACTCATTTATTTAATATATAGGAAGTACTCATGTATTTACATATATTCTTGAGTAATCAAGAAATAATAAACATAGAAATCAGATTAAAACTGATAAACATCTTAGAAAGAGTCATAGCAGAAAAACTATTGGTCTTGAATCTTAATTCCAATAGGGACAGCAAATTTTTGAGCTAAATCTGGCTGGCCACACCCATTTGTTTATGTATTCCCTGATGCAGTTTTTGTGCTATAAAAGCAAACTCAGTAGTTGCAACAAATATCATCAGGCTAAAAGTATTTTAGCAATTTGCTGAACCTTGTCTAGGGCCTCAAAAGCTAATAAAAATCATCCAGCATTCTTCCCCAAACCTTAGGGGTTTGGTATCAGTCAGTTGTGTGTAGGGCTCAGGAATCCACCTTTATGAAGCATCATAGATGGTCTCTGAGACAGATGATCTGCAAACTACTTTTCAAGACTTGAGGGATAATACAGAAAAAGTAACAAATTCACTAAAGGCTATGATTCAAAACCAAAACTATACTGCCCTCTGTATTTACTCTTACAAGCAGTGGAAAAACATAACTAACAAAGTCATCAAGGTCATGATGAAAAATCATGAATCTTGCTCTATGATGTGATCATCAACAAAAGAAATAGGGACAAGATAAATCTGTCATCTGCATTTTGGGATTCTGTTTTTTTTTTTTTAATAAGGTACATTTCAATATAATTTGTTTCTTAAAAATAAATGCTTTACTACAAGTTGGAAACCTTCCATCAACACCATTAAGACCAACATTTTAGAGTATGCAAATTATTTTTATTACTATCTGTTTGTATATTCCCCTATTCCAAAAGGAATTTGAAGCAGGATGTAAATTAGTTCCTGTGAACATTTTCACCTACTATAAAAAATCTGCTTTTTATAATAAATGAAAATTTCAGTGTTATTATTAAGAGGAAACATTACAAAGAGAGGGAAAACTTTTCATGGAGTTATTTTCCAATTCCTTAAATAAGGTCCTAGTATTTGCAGCACAACTTCACAACTGTATATAATATTACTGTTGAAGAAAAAAAAGTGAAAAAAGGTCGTTTATACTGTTAAAATTTTATCACAATATCCACCACCTCAAATTCTTACAAGATACCCATCTTATGAAATAACATAAAAGTACTAATACACACCCACATTGGATCTTTCATTAGAATCAAAATGAGAGCATCAAAAGGCTTTAAAATCAAAATACACATTTTCAGATATCATGATAATCATATTACCTTTAAATTAATTAGTATAATTTCTTTTTTTAAGTATAATTTCAATAAGAAACCAGTATATTTATATACTACAAGAAAAATCTACATGCTATTACAAATCTATTCATGCAGTACGTTAAAACAGATATCCTTACTATATACTGATTTTTTGGGGGAAAAAAAAAGAGCTATTTCTAATGTTCCAAAGGTTACACTGCATTAAGACCTTACTCCCCATCCATTACTTTAAATTGGGCTAAAGAACAGTAATTGAGTGGTACATTAAATTTTTCAGTATGGAGCAATTCAAGTAATCCACCATAATAAAAAAGTACTTCTAAATAAGAATATATGGGCAACTTCAGATTTCAGTTATGGTAGATTTATTTTTCTTAACTATTTTATTATACATTGCTACTATAAAAATTAGAATTCTATGACATATCACAATCTATTACCTTACTTTGAGTCATTTTCACCTAGTAATACACTTATATTTCTTTTTGCAATTAAAAAGACAATCCTAAAAAATTTTAAGAAATAGCATGTTAATGGAGGACAGGAATATAAACAAAGATAAAATTAACAACATTAAAATACTCTCAACAGTCACAATTTAAACATACAACTTTAAAATACAGCTCTTTGGAAAATTAAAAATCAGTAAATTCTAATGTTCACATTGAAGACCTCAAAGTAAAGGGGTACCAGTGGACAGGATAATATTTAGAGGCACTAAATCTGAAGCAAAACAACTTCTAAGAAACTATTTAAAATGCTACAGAAAAATTAATATCAATATATATTCTCTTGTCAATGGTATCTGCACTCTATTAAAAAGCTTAGGACACTGACAAACCCAAAGTTTTTGTGCATTTGACTGCAATCTGAATCATAAGATTTTCAGATTCCAGCCCACCCTCCCTCTTCCAATTAAGTTATAGGAATTTCATTTGTATGTCTCTAAAATCATGAATTCGTGGCCACTGCAATCAAAGATTTCAAGCACCTGAAGAAAGCAATTAAGAAAATCAGTCATTTTTATATTCGCCTTTTCAACCAGAGAATAGGAACACTTAACTAAACTGAATAACACACACACACACACACACAAAATACTTTCATTATGAATCTCTGCTTTTCAATATTTTCAAAGACAAATTCAATTGTAAATGACTTTGCCTGGTTCTTGATTCCTAAATGCCCCAAAATAGCTAAGTGCACTTTTTAAACTTTCTACAGAATGCAGTTTCCACTGCCATTTTCACCCATTAGCTTACCTGCAAAAACAAATAATGAATCCTAGCTGACCACAGCAGTTATAGAAAGATATCTAAAAAGATTTTACAGATCACTCTGTAAGCAGTTCAATTTAAAAGCTATTGTGTTTCAATACCAGCTCACAGCAGTAGTATAAAGTAAATCCTACAAAAACATCAATTTTATTTATTTAAATTTGTCAGAGGCGTGATCAGTAGACATCTAAGCAAAATGCACACAAACAGCAAATCAGATCCAATATTCTGCATCTGGGACTCAATTTTCATTAAATCTCAAGACTGAATTAACTTGGGGTGGCTGGGAAGAGTAGTGAAGTAACTAGCATTTGGTGAGACATCTGTAAGTACATGGAGTAGATTTCAGTATGACTAAGTACTCTTTACATAATAACATCTTTCAATTGTTCTTTTCTGAAAAGATATCCTGATCTATCCTATTAAACATTATGTGAAACCTAGTTACAACAATTCCCAGTTATAAAAATTCTTAGCCAGAATGCATTTTATTCTTAAACTTTGCTCTAAAAGCAGTGTTTATTACAAATGAGGGATATGAAACTATAAAATATTCACATCAAAGTTGATGGTACTATCAACATAAATCTACAGGCACACCTAGTAGATACTGCAGGTTCAGTTCCAGATCACGGCAGAAAAGTCAATGTTGCAATAAATTAACACTATTTTTTTTTTTTTTTAGTTTCCCATTGCACATAATTTAAATTCACAACATACTATAATCTACTAAGTGAACAATGGCATTACTGCTTAAAAAAAAAACAACCAATATAGTAACCTTAATTTAAAAATACCTTATTGCTAAAAAGTGTTAACCATCAACTGAGGCTTCCACAAGTTATCTTTTAGCTGGTGGGAGGTCATGCCTCCCTACAAATGGCTGCTGACAGATGAGGGTAATGGTGAAGGTTTGGTGTCTGGCAAGTTCTTAAAATAAGACAATAAAGTTAGTTTTGTGCTGATTGGCTCTTTCATGCAATACTTCTCTGTAGCACCCCAAGCTGTTTGAAAGCACTTTACCTACAGACATTTCAAAATTGGAGTCAATCTTCTCAAACCCTCTTACTGATTTCTATCAAATTTATGTAACATTCCAAAATCATTTGTCATTTCAACATTTATAGCATCTTCACCAAAGGCAGATTCTCCTTCAAGAAACCACTTTCTTTGCTTATTCATAAGAAGCACTTCCCCTTATCCATACAAGTTTTATTATGAGATCACACCAATTTAGTCATATCTCAGGCTCAACTTTTCTTTCTCTTGCTAGTTCTACCACATTTGCAGCTACTTCCTCCATTGATGTTTTGAACCTCAATCACCCATGAAGGTTGGAATCATCTTCTTTCAAACTCCTGCTAATGTTGACATTTGACCTCTAATTGTTCAAAAATTTTCTTAATATTTTGTGGAATGTTGAATTGTTTACAAAATGTTTTCTATTGCCTCTGCCTGGTTCCAGCACAGGTATCACTATCTATGGCAGCTATGTCCATATGAAATAAAGCTCTGGGCCCTCCCTGGTGGGGCAGCGGGTTAAACCACAGCACTAAGAAGCTAAAGCCATTTCAGCATGAGTTTGATCCCCGCTCCAGAGGTGATCCCACATGGCGTGGCAGACCTCTCCTGACCCGTCCGCTGCTCCCCTTCACAGTATATTTTGTCAGTCGGCCTGTTCTGCTACCCACTCTTGTCTCTGGTAAACCCTTTCACTGCCCCTGCACCTCTGGCCTATACGCCAGTTCTGTATGCATAAATAAATCTTAAAAAAAAAAAAAAAGATGTGGTACATATATGCAATGGAATATTACCCAGCAATCAAAAAGATAAAACTCATGCCTTTTGCAGCAACATGAATGGCGCTGGAAGGGATCATGCTTAGTGAAATAGGCTAAGAAGAAAGAGAAAAATACTGGATGGTTTAATTTATAACAGGAGCATAAAGGACCGGGGCGGGGGTGGGGGGGATAATAATGAACAACTATATACCAGGGATATTTTATGGGGGTGGGGTGGGTAATGGGATCAAAAATGGGGGGGGGAAGCCCATGGCGATTACAACTGAGATGGAAAAATGCACAAAATAATGTAAAAATAAACTACTATAAGAATAAGACTTGAACACTGAAATTATTTCTTGGTCCACAGGTTGGAGAATGAGGGCTGTTTAGCAAACATGGAAACATTAATCTTCTTGAACATCTCCATCACATTTCTAGGTAACCATGTGCATTGTAAACAAGTAGTGGTATTTTCAAAGGCATCTTTTGTTACTGATCAGTAGGCCTCAGCAATGGGCTGAGTAATATTCAGAAAACGAAGCAAACAGGTGGGATGTTATCCAGGCTTTGCAATACCATTTATAAAGTAGAAATAACTAATTCTTAAGGGTTCTAGGATTTCCAGAATGGTAAATGAGGGATTATTGACTTCAACTTAATGTCACCAGATTAGTAACTAAAGATTCAACCTGTCTTTTGAAATTTTTAAGCCACGTGCTGTGTTCTCTTCTCTAGCTATAAGGCTGTTTCTCTTACACTAAAAAATCTTCTGTTTAGTGTAGCCATTTAATCAAAGATCTTCACTTCATCAGTGATTTGTATAACTAGATGTATTCTATACCAGTACTTGCTTCCTTTTGAATTTATGTTATGGAATTAGAATCTTTCCTTAAACCAACCTCTACTAGCTTCAAACTTTTCTTTTACAGGTTCCTATCTCTCCAAGTCTTCGGAAAATTGAAGAAAGTTAGGGTCATATTCTGACTTAAGGGAATATTGTGGCTAGCTTGATCTTTCCTCCAGACTACTACACACCTCTCCACTCTGCAATAACAGTTTTACTTTCTTATCAATTATGATATGTATGTCTAATCAAAAAGCAAGAACTTTCCCTCTGCATTCACAACTTGACTATTTGGTGCAAGAGTCCAACCTTTCAGACTATTTTGCTTTAACTTTGAACATGCTTTTCTCAATAATCTTATCTCTAGCTTTTGATTTGTGTGGCTATTTCTTTCATTTGAACCCACTGAGGTTACTAATTGGCCTAATTTCAATATTGTTGTCTTAGATAATTAGTATGAGGAGAGGTAAGAGAGCTGTTATTGGTAGATAAAGTCAAAACACAACATTTATCAATTCAGTTCATTGTCTTACATGGGTGTGACTCATGGCACCTCAAAACAATCACATTAGTAACATCACTAATTACAGATCACCACAACAGTTATAATACTGAAAAGGTATAAAATAATGAGAGAATTACAAAATTTGTGACAAGACACAAAGTGATCTAATGTTCTTGGATTAAGTGGCACCAATGGATCTGCTCAATGTAGGGCTGTCACAAACCTTTGATTTGTTGTTTTTTGTTTTTATTTTATTTTATTTTATTTTATTTTATTTTTTTAAATATTTATCCATTTATTTGTACAGAACTGGGTTACAGGCCAGAGATGCGGAGGGTGAGAGAATTCACCAGAGACAGAGCGTGGAGTAGAACAGGCAGATCGACGAAGTACACTGCTGAGGGGAGCAGCGGGCGGGTCAAGAGAGGTCTGCCACGCCATGTGGTCACCTCCGGGGCAGGCGGGAATCGAACTCATGCAGAAGTGGCTTTAGCTTCTTAAGTGCTGTGCTTTAACCCGCTGCGCCACCAGGGAGGGCCTGTTTTTTTTTTAAATGGTATCAAAGTATAATAAAATGAAGTCTATCTGCATTTATTTTCAAATTTAATTTGGAAATTTCAGATTTATGGAAAAGTTGCAAGAGCAGAGTTTCTGAATATTCACCTAGATTCCCCAAATGTTAACATTTTACATTTAGTTTTCTCTCTTTATATATACACTCATATTTATTTTCTAAATATATTAAAGTTATAGACATGTTCTTATACCCTGAAATACTTGCCTGTAAACTACCTAGTAAAAGAAACACTTTTATGTAAGCACAGTAAAAATGACTTAAAAATCAGAAAATTAAACACTGAACTAGGTAGTTCATAGATTTCACTGAGATTTGGTCAATTATTTCTGTATTTTTTATAGCAAAAAGAAAATCCAAACTATGTACTTGGAGTATTTTTATCCTTTCAATCCTTAAATCTGAAAATTTCTGGTACCTTTCTTAATATTTCATGACACTTGCATTTTGAAGCATAAAAGCCAGTTATCTGTAGAAATCTGTCATATGAGTTTGTCTCCTGTTTCCTCTTGATTATATTCCAGTCATTCACTTTTCACAGAACTAATGATCTGATGCAAAGTTCTAGGCACAGCATTCTCCTGCTAGTAATGTTAATTATGTTCATTTGATTCAGGTGGTGTATGCCGAGTTTTTCCATTGTAAAATCAAATTTTGCTATTTTAACCATTGTAATTAAGAAATATTTTATAAGGATATTTCCTGAGCCTGTATGACTATCTTGTTACTCAAATTTTCACCCTAGATTTTAGCATTTGTTAGTGATTACTTCCTGAACTAATTACCACTGTAGACAGCCAGCAAATGGTGATATTCTAATTCCATTACTTCTTCTATGTTTACTAACTGCTCTTGCATCGTAAGGAAGAACAATCATTTATTCATTCAAGTATGGATTTAGGGAATCCAACTCAATAGGTTAGAATGCTTTTACTTGTTGCTCAAATTAATTAGTGGGAGCCCTTTCAAAGTGACTCCTGTGTCTTTTTGAAATGTCTCTACCATTCTGTGAGAAGGGTCTTGTTTTTTGGCTAACAAGATGTTCCAAGATCACCCCATTCTTTCCTTGCCTTAGCTTTGAAATCAGTCATTTTTCTAAGGAGTGTCGGTTCCTTTGAGAAATGAATGAAATTTAAAAACCAAAGCTTATCATAAAAGGAATGTAACACTACATCCTACAACATACACGAATGCTTAAAAACACGTTAAGTGGAAGAAGCAACATGCAAAAGGCCATTCATATGAAATGACAACAAGGACAGGCAAATCTACAGACTGAAAGCAGACTGACTGTGAAGGACAGAGTAAAGGGAGGGTCAGGAGTTTGGGGGTATCAAACTTGTTTGAGGGATAATGAAAATGTTTTGGAGTTACACAGTGGTGATGTATACACATCATAAATACACCAAAATTAAGAATTATTTACTTTAAAAGGGTAAATTTTCTGGTATATCTCAATTGAAAAAAAGTAAGACCTGGGCACTTAGATATGCTCACCTATAATGAGTATTAAGCTCAAAGATCAACACTGGAAAACTGGTTCGTAGGCCCATCCAGGTATCCATATGTGTACACACAAATGTGTGTAGACACACACACAGTCATACACATCTAGCTATCTATATTAAAACCTGCGAGGTTCACATCATCTCCAACTTCAAACCAACACCATAGGGTTCAGCCTGTCCTTCCCCCTTTTCAGATTTATACTTTCTTTCTACAACACTGCAGAATCTGAGAACCAGGATTTGAATGCAGATGGTTTAGTTCCCTTAACCACTATATATCAGGATGTCCACTTATGTTAACAAAACTATAATTTACTGAGTAAAATTCAGCTGAATTCAGCAGACTTCTTAACTGATACTCACAGTGATGCTGTCCAAAAGTTTGGCCATGTGTTTAATAATTTCACCATGTTGTGCAGGTTGCATTTGCAATAATTTCTTAATTACAACCACACTTTCAGCAACAACTATTTCTGAAAAAGAAATGATTCATATGAAATACATGTAATTCAAATGCAAATAATTTAATATTATGCTTGGTAAAATGTAGACTTAAATTAGCAAAAGCATTCTACATGTCTTAAGTAAGTAGGTAAAAAATATAACCACGAATATACTTTGGGTGAACATCAATCTTAAGTAGAAAAGTGTACTTTAATCTTTAACCTCTGTTGCAGTCTCTTAGCTTCTGATATCCCCATCTAAACTGCTTCTTTGGGCTGGAAAAGCAAAGTGGGGTCAATTAAAAATGATGAAAAAAATTAAGAATCCATAGTATAATTTTTTTTCACTTTTATAATATATGGTTGCAAAACTAGATCAGTAAGTCATGTATAATTTTTATTATCCACACAGAGCAGGATTAGACATAGTTTAAAATATTTAGTACTATTTATCATTTGATACATTAGTTTCCTGTGTTGCTGTCAAAGTTTAACATAAACTTTGTGACTAAGAACAATATACAAATTTATTATCTCACATTTCTGGAGTCAGAATTTCACAGTAGTGTTTGGGGGTAAAATTAAGGTGTCAACAACACTCTAAAAAGGTTCTTCTGGAGGCTGCACACATTCTTCGGTTAAAGGACCCTTCCAACAATGGCATCACACCGAACTCTGCTTCTGACACTTTCTGAGTTTCTTGGCCTTTCGTTTTCCCTTATAAGGACCCTTTTGATTACCCTGGGTCTACCTGATAACCTCCCAGTTGCCTCTAATCTACAGTGTATTAGTAGTTATTTTTTTATGTAAGCAAGTATCTGGCAACAGAGTAAGTAAGCATGTTGCCAGAGTAAATATCTGGCAACAAAGTGGTCAATACACGTAAAATTAAAATATATTTGTTTTATATTACTATCTCCCTCCAATAGACTGTGAGCTCTTTTTCCATGTAAGGTAATATATTCACAGCCTCCAGACAGCAGGCCATGGGACTCTGCTAGGGGCAATTATTCCACTCAGCCCAGGGGCCTTCTTATTCCCTTCAGGTAATCCTGCCCTATATTTTCTTTATGCTACCTCCTAGTTTGTAAAGGCCTCCATGCTGGTAGTACTCTACCATAAGCTTCCTCCCTATGCTCAAAAAATTAATGGCCCTTATTCTAAGAAGCAAAATCTATTTTTCTTTTAACAATTTTATTTTGATGAGAATATGTCACATGAACATTACCTTCTTGACAAAAGTATATAATACATTATTGCTGACACAGTTCAGAGTCAATATATGGGAGAACTGTAACATAATCGTTCTATATTACTGTCTCCCTCCATAAATTGCAAATGTCATAAACAGGAATTTTTCATATATTTTTCATTTATTATTCAACATTTACTAAATACCTCAACTAATCTAAGTCCTCGATAAATGCTTAATGACCTTTAAATAAGAACACAAAAATTAGTTCTCCCCCCCCAGTCCTTGCAGTTTATAGTAGGTGGTAAAAAGGTTATACCAACAAGCAAATTTTGCTATTATGCTACCTGATGTTAACTACCTCAATTATCTTAGGGAATTAAATTTTCCTTAGACAGCTGACATGCAGATTTTGCCCAAAAGTTCCAAAGAAATTTATTATCAAATTAATCTTAGGCAGTGATATTAGACTCTTTTAGGGAAAACTTTAAGTCAGTCTACAAAGGTTTCTTCATACCCAAAATAGAGAAGTCAAAATATTTAATCAAAACCAAAAACTGTGGGTACAAAAGGAATGTATTAAATATATTCTCCAAAATGGAGTCTAAATACATTCATTTTGAGGTAGTAAGATATACTATTTCAGAGATGATAAGATAATCATTTTAAAATAAACTAATCATAATTTTATAGAGCCTCAATAGATTTTAAACTAAGAAAATTCACAGAATTTATTTCCAAAAGTAGATCTTTTAATAGGTAAAAAGGGGCACTACTATCAACGCTAGTCATTTTAAAATTAAAAATATTGTTAACTGATTTCAATATAGTCTCTGTATCTGTTTCACTGTTCATCCTTACTGAGCCAGATTTCCAAAATGCAAACATACAAACAAATATATATTACTGAGAAAAAGGAAAATGTGTTATGAGTTAAAGATGATTCCACAACCAGAACTTGGACAATAAAAGTATCTTTATATTCAAACTGCAGAAGATTGTGAAGAGATCTATGACTTACCAAAAATAAAAGCCTCAACATTAAAATTAAACATTAAAATATTGGTATCTAAATGAGTAAATCCATCTGCTTTTCAAGAATAATTATAGATTACATTAATCTATTATAAAACAATAATCTAATTCTAAAGCAATCTATTCTTCCCTTAAAAATGTTAGAGTAAAATATTCGTTTTTTAAATTAGCCAATAAAAAACATTTTTTAGAAATTAAATTGTGCTGCAAAGTTTAAGCAGAAATAATTACTTTCAAATCAGCAACTTGAAAATTTTACATAAGAAAAAGAGTCAAAAAATAAAATTGAGACATCCTGAATATATTTTGTATATGAAAGAAATAATTAGTTACCTAACTATTTTCTGATGTATCTTGTATGAAACTAAATTTTAAAAGAACAATCACCTCAGTAAAGTTTGGTTCATAATGCTCTGGAGATATTTTCCCAAGGACAATGTTTTATTTTATCAAACAGAAAATTATTATTAAAGGTACAAGAAAACAAATTTTTTTTAAGTCACAGAGACAAAAGGGATGTTATTGTTAAAAGTAGAAATATTATCTTGAGTTTAAGGTGCAAGTTTAAAATTCAACATTTACTTAAAAATTAATAATAATTGGCATAAACTCTTATATATTTTTACTTATAACAATATTACAGTTTTGTAAAAAGATATCTGTGGGAAAAGAGAGATAGTACTATAGTGAAGTTATTTTTCAAATAAATATTTTAAAATAGTCAATTTTGCTACGTCATATATGCCTATGTCTACATATTACAAAAGTATAGTTAAAATTCCACAAATATTCAAAGATTTTACAGAGAAAATTAAGCTTTCCTTTAAAAGAACTTTGTGTTTTAATCAAATACAAAATTATAGAAGTTTGCTATATAAATTATTTTTTAAAGGTAAAAATTGAGAAATTTCTTATTCTTTCTCAAATGATTTCATTTGTTCTAGATCCAAACCACTGAAATAGCTGACATTTTACCAAAAAGCAGTATTAAATCTGGACCACAGAAAAACTGTATATTGCCTATCCATTTTTACCAAATATTCAGATATTGTTTGGCTTAAAAATATGATGCTCTTCCAAACTGATGACTTGAAAATCTAGTTAAACTTGAATATAAAATTATTAGATGAATGCCTGGGAAAAATGTTGAGGCTACACATTGAATATACTTTTTGATCATTTTTCCATGTTATAAAGTCATTTGCCTGCTTTTAGCACCCTCTGCAGGTGAACCAATATAACGCATGACTTATATGCTATTAAAAAGCAGAAAAATAGAACCTTTGTGGAAAAGGTACAATGTCGACTACAATGTAACAAAATAAAATAAACAAATTATACTTTCTTGGTTATACTTAGGTGATATTAGTACTGTCTGCAAGAAATGTATCTAACTTACTTCAACAACAAGAACAATAAAAAAGTATGTGTATATTTTTCAGTGATACAATGCTATTCATTGTGATCATGCTACTGATGTATAAGAAAACCAAACACAAAGTTAAAAAAAGTGACAAGTTTCACATGAATAAGAGTCAAAAGAAAAATTAATTGTAAACAAAATGAAAATGTCAACTTACCATCCCTGTTGGACAGCAGGCACACTAAGCCATTGAGGCATGTTTCAGTGACTTCAGAGATGTTGGTGGCACATCTTCCTATAGTCTGAATAGTGGCTGCTGCAAATAGTTTATCCTGGCTTTTCACATAGGTCTAGGAATTATTATTTCAATTAGTTTTTACTTTGTTACTATCAAGTGAACAAAAAAGTCCCTATTACACTAAGTTTAGTCAATACATGACAATTCTAAAACATATTCTCATCTACAGATCAAATTAATAATGAAGTTGATTTAGGTTTTTGGTTTTTTTGTTTTTTTAAGTTAGAGAATGTACCTACATAAGGGCACATTTTCAGATCAGGTTCATTCACCTGTAGCCACTGTGGCTTGTGACTCCAAAACAGATAGTGGGGAGCAGTCACCCAAAGACAGCAATTAGTTTAAGTGCAAGGTTGAAAGAGATGATGAGAACTCTCTTTGGAGGTTTCAGTTCATTTAACCAGCAGCATCTGTGAATCTATGAAAAAAACAGTTGCTTTTTCAGAGATACTAAGTCTAAAAATTGAGAGAAAAGGAGGAAAAGGACCAATTTACTACTGACAAAAACATTTTATTTTAAAAATGGTATCCAAATGCTAATAAAACTTTAACAGCTATAGTCAGCAGCATTTCAATAAAGGCTTTATAATACTCAATTTACAACAAAATCCAATCTCAATACTTTTAAAATAGATTTTTCTTCTAAAAGAATGCTTTAAACTAAATCATTGTTTTAACAACACAAAGTTCAAAGAGCTTTACAAAATTTATACTAGCCCTAAAGAATTTCACTTTGGTTACAACCTTCCTAATTTAAAAACAAAACTTTTATTGTTTATAGAAATAAATGGACTTTTACTGTGCATATTTATATGCTAGTTATACACAAATAGATCTAAAATCCTATTTTAACCAGATTTCACTTATGTGGACTATGAAGAAACAAAGTAAAAGAACATAAAAACCAAACCAAACAAATCCTTAAAATCTGACTGTAGAAGTGAGGTTACCAAAAAGGGGGGTGTTGAAGATAGAAGTAAATATTGGAATAAAGCTCAAATACAGACTGATAAACATAGATATATGAAGGGGAAAAAAGAAACATTTAAAAATCAACTAAACAATGGGCTTTATTATAAATCCTGGCAGTAAAATGGAATGTCTAACTCACTGATAATTCTGAAACAGATCAGGTGTGCATCTCTGTACAACTAAACAATATCAAGAATATCTGAGACCTACTTTCTACAGCCCCAGTAAAGTTTACAAAAGCAGAAAGATGGCAGTGAATGGACACCCAACTACAAGAGAAATAGGGAGAAGTACAAATACAAAGAACAAGACATCAAAAACAAATAAATAAGCAAAATTATAACAATGAGATAAAAATACAATTTAAGCAATGTTCTTTCATGATAGATTACTAGAGAAGAATTTGATATACTATTTTCTGGCAAGAAAACTGGCATGAGTGGGTACCTAAGGTACTCTTAACATTACAAGAATTTCCCTAGTAAAATAGTTACACACAAATAGACCTAAAATCCTATTTTAGCCAGACTTCACTTATGTGGACTATGAAAAGCAAAGTAAAATAATATAAAAAACAAACAAATCCTTAAAATCTGACTGTAGAAATGAAGTTATCAAAATTACTGAAAATACAGTAATCTAGTTCTGAAATTAGTATTCATGGCCATGTACTGGATTCTACTACTCCTGTTAAAAGTATAAGATCTCACAATTGAAAAGAAATAGTATCTATATAGCTTAAAAGAACTTTAATATGGGCATACAAAGGATTATTGCAACAAAATAAGTCTATAAATAAAGTTGGGCATTCACAACACTCTGGTGACTATAAAGCCTGTGACATGCCATTGTTAAGAAAATTGCTTATAAAATGTAAAACTGATAATAGTGATATGAAGTTTTCTACTACAGTGCTCCACCAATATTCAGAGCAACCATTCCACCATATCGGTGTAACATCCATAAATAAGTTTTGGATAATATCTTGTAGGTCGTGTCTCATCCATTAACATATATGGTTTCAAAATACAATAAAACAATAATTAAAAAGTCATGATGGGACCCGTTTTAAATAAGTAATTTTTGAGTTATTCATGAAAGCGGCAGAGATAGCAGTCAAAAACAGTGATAAGTAAAACAAGCACAGGCATCTAGGTTTCAGATAGTGAAGACTGCTAACTGTAGAAAGGACTACTGATGACAGCAAAGAGAGATAAAATCTACCAGTAATATAATTTTTCAAAGAAAGACAGTTAAAGACAAGTCTTTCAAATTTTATGAAAGTATTTTCCCTTAAATTTTAAATTATTTATTCTTGAGATTTCATAAATTTGCCAGGTTGCCAATCTTGTCTTAACACAGGAGTTTTATTCCTAAATTTAAAAAGATGTGTAACACATTTTAGAAGTCATACTGTTTAGAAGTAAGTTACCATTGTACACAGACCTGAAATTCTCGAAGAAGAGTTGATATATTGGCTTCATTTGCCAAGTTTGTCAAAATTTCAAGCTATAGTAGAAGAAAGAAAAAGTAAACATCTTAAAACACAAATAAAAGGATGATTTTTATATAGGGTAGGCATTTATTTAGTAAAAAACTAATTTGTTCTTTTCTTAAAAATTCATATCCCTACAAATATGAGGCATGCTAAACTTCAGATGAATTTTGTCTCACTATATCTGTAAATAAAAAATAGATAATACACACTATTTAAAATATAATTAGGAACAAAAGATCCCTACAACTGTCTCTAATTGTACCAACTTAACAAATTATACCCAATCAGTATAAACAATTAAAATTTGACGTTTCTTTTTTTTTTTTACAGATTTATTTATTTATTCATACATATAGAGCTGGGGTACCGGCCAAAGTGCGGAGGGTGAGAGGATTCACCAGAGACAGAGTGGGGAGCAGAAAAGGCAGATCGACGAAGTACACCGCTGAGGGGAGCAGCGGATAGGTCAGGAGAGGTCTGCCTCGCTATGTGGATCTCCTCCGGGGCAGGCGGGGATCAAACTCAGCGAAAGTGGCTTAAGCTTCTTAGTGCAGAGCTTTAACCCGCTGAGCCACCAGGGAGGGCCTAACGTTTCTTTTATTAATAACGTTAGATAACAATTTGCTCTGACTTATATGCAACACATGAAAAATATTCAGTTAATCTGACACTGAATTAAGAAAAAGGAAAAAAGAAACAGAGGACAAACAGGACAAGCAGAAAGCCTAATATAAAATGTAGATAAACATTCATAGCAATGATTACATTAAAAATTAATGGTCTAGGCAATCCAATAAACGGTCTATTGTAGGAGTTCAGGGTATTAGTTGTTTTCCAAATATATTTATGGGAATTACTTTCCCAGTGATTTCACTTGCCATTAATTTTGTGAGAATTTTTTTTGTACATTTTTAAAGTTATCTATAACATATGAAAACAACTCTCTTTAATCTGATCCACTGAGGACTAAAGTTGTGAATCTGATTAACAAATACATATTCTCAAATACTTCTGTATATATTTCCTATAAACAAGGACACTGTCACACAGATCATAACACAACCAAGAAAATTAGATTAACACTGTTCTACTTAAGTTTCATAATCATCTCAATAATGTATAGTAAAGGATCCAGTTCAGTATCACACATTTTATTTAGTTGCCTCTTTAGTCTCCTTCAATTTGAAAGTTTTTCATTTTTCTTCCTTTTTATGTTGCAAAGAAAAACTTAATTTTTAACTCCCAAATATATTTCTCTCCATAAAGAACCCATAATCCCTAGACCTGCACAAGTGTAAAGCTTATTATTTGACAATAGTTTCTTTCTTTTAACCATCTTGCTTTTATTCCAAACCAATTATTTTGTAAAATATCCTTCAATTTAGGGAACTTACATTTTCTTAGGATTAAACTCAGTTCCCATTAAAATAACCATTCATTCCAATATTTATTGAATAGATCATCCTTCCTCATGTTTGTAATGTCACCTTTATTATATAGTAAGTTTTCATGTGCACAGGTATTCTAGGTTTTCTACCCAATTGTACTTATTTTTCTGTCTAAATTTAATCACTATTGTTTTAACCATTACAGCTTATACCCCAAATTACATTATATTGTAGTTATCATTCCCTAAACACAACACTCTTTCATAATCCCTTGTTACTAGCATAAACTGTGCTTTTCTCTTATTCCCAATACCACAGTCTCCAATCAACCTATTAACCAACAAAAGTTTCACTCAACTTTTCTATAAGTCTTTTCTAAATCTCACAGAACATGAAACCTACCTTTTTGTCTTTCATAGACCTCAATTCAAATCTCTATAATATCACTTAAAACACATCATATTGAAATGATCTAACTACATGTCTACCTCCTTCTGTATACTATGAGTTATATGAGGTGTAGATAGCATGTCTTAATTTTATATTACTAGTAGCACAGTAACTGGTACGTAATGATATCGTTCAGAAAATGTAAAGAAAATCCTTAAATGTGCCCATGTTTTTTTAAAGAAGAACTGAACTTACTAAAGCCAGAAAGTATAGCAGTAACTTTAAAAAGTATGTATTAGAATATCTGAAAGTAAAAGCGTGAATACCTTCAGTGTCTTGATCATAGTTGGATCAGTTGACCTAACATAGAAACTCTTCAGATACGGTTCAAACATACCCTAGATTACAAAAAAGCAAATATATAAATACATACAAATATTACTGTATTCATTTTGCTCTTAAATTATGTGTTCACAATGCACATACCTTTCTTTGAATTGACATAGTTGCTATATTCTGTAGAACAATATACTGTACTTCCCTAGAAATTAAACAACAATTTTCAATGAGTATATTTTCCAATGACTTGCCTTTAAGAAAATAGCACATAAAAAGGAAAAAAGTCAATAAAAAGTTTTATGTTGAATAGAATTCAAATACGAAATTGAAAAGTATTTAGTAAATGTTAGGTTCTGATGACTTCTTTAAAAATGTATCTTCCTAAAAACTATTAATAGATGAGATTTGATTAATCATTAAGAAAAATCAAAACCAATTTTATAATATTGTACTCAAGGTGTAAAGTTAATCAAGTGGCTGATCTGAGCACATACATGGAAGGTATCCTTAGGGCTTATAGAATAAACATCACCATTGCAGGAATACAAACTCCTGATCAGAAGGCTCACGCTGTCATTCAGTCTTGCCCAAAGTAAAAGATTTAAAAAGCAGTCCTACTTTGAGTCTAAATAGCTAAGAAATGAAGATACAACTGAATCTTGTCTAAGACTAATTCAGGTGAGGGCCTCCCTGGTGCTATATGCCCACTAATGCCTGAGTTCAATCCCCAGCCAGGGAGCTAACCCACATGGTACAACATACTTCTCTTGATTCCCCATTGCTCCCATATACCCCATTTCTTCTGTGGCAAAAGAAAAAAAAAAAGGCTTCAGGTGAAAGATGCATTCAGCTTTCTGAAAAGAAAATCTTTCAACTAGCCACAGAAAAGACCTGACTGAAAAAAGGAGAATTATTATATATAAAGGAAAGAACAGGAACACAAAGGAAATAGCTCACTAAGGAATATAGGAGGTTAATACTGTGGCCTTAAGTTCTAGTTAAGGACTAAATGAATCCATCTTTTTTCCCCCTCAACTTTCTCAGAGGTCAGTACTCAACGAGAACTTTCTAATTTAAAACAAATCATTGCAAAATATCCAGGGTAAATCAAATGACTAAAACAAATATAATCTTAAACACAGAAAGCAAAAAACTCAAAAAATCTGGTCTTAAACTTTAAAAGTATATATCATAGGAATTCAGTAAGTTTTCTGAACTGTTAACCTTAACTGCTCAATTACAATGATTGAAAAGAACATGAATTTCTTTAAAATATTTAACTTTTAAAAATAAAGTTCTTTTATAGTAGAGCAAAATGCAGTTTGCAACTTCATAGGAAGCAGTAATTATTGTCATAAACTATATAATTTAATATATGAATTGCTCTATTTGTATTAATACTAACTACACCAAGGTAATATGATAATATAGTAGTACAGTTTTTCAATATTTCAGATTTACTAAAATTCCAAAACATTATTGAAATTTCACACATCTAGAAATATCAAACACTAAATATTAGGCTACTAGTGACAAAACATTATATGCGAAAAACTACTTTCAATCTCTGAGTTTATTTTTTAAAAAATCTTCAATTTTTATCATTAAGAAAAATTGTATAAAGGCCTTTATAGTCAACTCCTTAAATGTGAAATCACTTATAAAATACAGCCAGTGCCATGTATGAAATGCCTGGAAAACAGACTGCATTTATTCAAACATAGTTTTAAATGAATTGAAAAGAAAAATACATAAAATTATATCCTACCTATTGCTACGGAGTAAACGCACTAGTGATTTAGAAATAATACCAGCTTCTGATTTTGGTGCTATATGCCAATACAGTTGAGCAACAGCCATAACCACCTAAAAGATAAACATGAAAATAGCAAGAAGTGAATACTGGAGCACTGTACAAAATATATTCTTAGATACTACCTCCTTTAACTCCTACAAAATTCCTCTGAAGCATATGTTGTTACTCTTTGTAACAGGTTGAATAGTTTCTGCCCAAGAGTTCATGTGACCTTCAGCATGCAACCTTATTTGGAAATAGTCTTTGGAGATGATATTAAAAAATGATCGTAAGGAAATCAAACTGGGTTAGGATAGGGGCTTTAAATTCAATGACTGTCCTTATAAAAGAGAAAACTACATGTAGAGATACACAAAAAAGTAAAGCAAAGATGAGGCACAGACTGGAGTAATGCATCTGTTAGCTATATAATGCCAAGATTTGCTGAAAACCACTGAAAGCTAGCAAAAGACACTTTCTACCATGGAACCTCCAAAAGAAACCAACCCTGTTGACACCTTGATTTTGGACTTCTGGATGCTAAAATATAATAGAAGATTTCTGTTGTTTTAATCTAACCAGTTTGCAGTTATTTGTTATGGCAGTCTCAGGAAACTAATACACCCTCACAACAAAAAAAAATGTTAAAAAAAAACTACCCAAAGTGACACCACCAACTCATGGCAAAACTTGGTAAGCCACTCCAAATCTCTCCAATGCTCTTTGACTGCTGCTAAGAATTTTTTAAAAAGTCTTATAAACTGTCATCAAAAGTTGTAAGATAACTGACAAGTAGGCTAAAATAAAGAAAAATATTCATATTTAAGTTATAAGTAGGGGAATCTAGCAAACAATGCCACAAAAACGGTAGTATTTGACATAATCTTATTTATAGCACTTTTAAAATCAGTATTTACCATAGGATAGTCAGAAAATACTAGTAATTATAAAAATATAAAATATAAGAGTTCTATGGTTCCCCTACATGCTTCTACACTTAAATCCAGAGGGCAGAAGTTTAGACTTTCACTCAACGTAGACAGTTTAAAATTTTCCAACTGCAGGGATGGTACCACAGAAGTACATCATCTTGTCTTTTGCTCACAAGATACATTAGTAAATACTACACTTCTTCTTGGTCTTTAACTTTTAACAAATATATGGCAGATTTAAAATATATCTAAACAGTATTAACATTAGAGAGTACTTAATAAAAGTTTTTTCTGAAATTAAGAATTTTTTTTAAATGCAGTTGATAGGGTCCAAATTTACTGTTTTCATTTTGTTGTACCTTTGTTTTTACAATTCTGACTTAAGAGACCTCTCTTGGGAAATGGAATAGGTTTAAGGACATCACCGTCCTTCACCTGTTATCCACAAATATGCTTTAATTAAAGAAAAAACTCTCCTGAATTGAATTTTTTTTTTTAGATTTATTTATTTATTCATACAGAACTGGGGTACAGGCCAGAGGTACAGGGGTGGTGAGAGGCTTCACCAAACATAGTGAGAACAGCAGAACAGGCAGACTGATGAAGTACACTGCTGAGGGGAGTAGCAGGCAGGTCAGGAGAGGTCTGCCACACCATGTGGGTCACATCCAGGGCAGGGGATCGAACTTCGCACTGAAGTGGCGGTGGCTAGCTTGCATTGCTGTGCCTTAATCCACTGCGCCACCAGGGAGGGCCCTGAATTGAATTCTTATAGAACAAAATCTCATTTAATGACTGAATTTATAAGAAGATAATTTTTTAAAATATTAAAGCATATAACTGGCTAATAAGTTATGATATATGGTAGAAAACAAATGTGAAGCTTAATTTTTAACATGTTTTACAGATAGTTAAATCCTTTTCTATTAAAAATAGTAAGTCCAGGCCCTCCCTGATGGCGCAGCGGGTTAAAGCACTGCACTAAGAAGCTTAAGCCACTTCTGCATGAGTTCGATCCCCACCTGCCCCGGAGGAGATCCACATGGTGAGGCAGACCTCTTCTGACCCACCCACTGCTCCCCTCAGCAGTGTACTTCGTAGATCTTCCTTTTCTGCTCCCCACTCTGTCCCTGGTGAATCCTCTCACCCTCTGCATCTCTGGCCTGTACCCCAGTTCTGTATGAATAAATCTTTAAAAAAAAAAAATAAGCCCAATGCTACTAAGCAAGAAAACAAACTGTACTTTCTATATATGTCAGTATTTTTAATATTCTAGATTCCACTCATTATGTCATTTGTTCTAACATATTATTTTGGCACTTCCTAACTTAAAAGGGTGAAGTGATATTCTTTATGCCCCAGTAATAAAAATCTAACAGTTTCAAGCTTCATCAATAGACAGTATTTGAAATTTATAGTCTTAATTTTTAAAAGACAATGAAGGAAGCTCCTGAAACTCTAAAGTCCAAAATGACTGAACATATTTAAATTTCATAGGCCTTCTATTTACTATCCAAGTTCATTATAAAGTACATCATATACAGTCATCTCGATACGATGATAGTGGTATTTTTAACCATACATACCACTATCATCGTATCTAGATTATTAACAGCTACATATATTATGCACTGACCCCCAATCAAGCATCCTCAGCTATAATCAAGTACCAAAAAAATAAAAACAGTTCTTCAATCAACTGAGAAACATCCTGAGCTCATTACTTTAAAAACCCAGTTAAATGAAACCACAAAACCACAAAAGGTAAGTGAAGTCCATTAGTTACACAAATACTAAATTAAGCAATCTAAACAAAACTTTTGCTATAGGGAGGTGATGTTGTAAACAAATAAGCAAATGCTCCATTGTTACACTAACAGATTTTCAAAACAAATTTTAAAAATCTGAATTATTTCTTGTAAGATATTAACATACCGCTGCATTCCTGCTCTGAAGCAAAGGTTTTGTATTCCGAATTAAAAGCCTATGGTCTGGATCCATAATATATGGTTTCTTCTTTTTGCTTGTCTTTTCCTTTTCTTCATCATCAGATTCATAGAAACTTTTTTCATTGTCCTCTAGGACATCATCCTACAAGGAAAGAAACACAATCCCAAGATTAGTTAAAACCTTAAACAACTCAAATATATAATGAAAACTTTTGAACATCTACAATATTTTAATATAGACTATTACTGTTGAAGCAATTTAAAAATATTACACTAGTAAAAAAAGACTTGTTTTCTCTCATTTTATAACAGCATGCTGTAGTACTATAAATCATACTTCACTATTACATAGTAAACTTTTGAAAATGTTAAAAAGCTATACAAATACTCAGTTTCCCAAAGGGAAACTTGACATTTAGAGTCTAATACACTATATAATATGAAACTCCTTAAAACTATTTTATAATTATTGGTCACTTAATAACTGGATCAAAAGATCAGAACAAAGAGTTGTTTGAACTCCAAATATATAATATATAATAACAAAGACTGATAAACTAAAAACTAGTGATTAAGTAGATCCCTGTGTTATAAAGAAAGGGTTTATATGTATATATAGGAGCTGACTCTATGTTTTTGTTTTGTGTATGTGCTGCAAAAGCGAGCACTCTGTTTTTGTTTTGAACTTCTCATTTTGAATTGTTTATCTCTCCAAATATAACCTGCCTAACAAATAAGCAAACAAAAAACACATAAAGACAATATCCATATGATTCCAAATCAACTCTTGTTTACGTGTAACTTCCATTACAGAATATCTGAAACATACTTTCTTCTTTGGAGTAGATATTCTTTCCCCTACTCCTCTCATTAAGTACACCTAGAAACCTAGATAGTACATATATAGAATAAACATTGAAAGTAAAAGTGGAGATAAAAAGAAATATTGGCCAGAAACTTCAGAACAAAAAAAAAAAGACAAAACAGTGCATTCCTTGGGTTTTTGTTTTTATATCGAAGCCTCAATGCTGGAAAATGGTAATTCAAAACACCAACAGGCAAAGAAACAACAAACCCTCCAAAATCTGCTTTCTCTAGCCAGAGAACCAAGAAAGAAACAGTCTAGTAAACAAAAAACTTGTAGAAAATAATGGCTCAGTATAGTCAACATGACAGAAAAAAACTATGGTCCCATCCCCATCAGCAAAGTCTAACATGGGTAGGGAAGACTTTCCACCCTAATTATAGTTAGATGCCCCAGTCATGTTACTGAAATGCTATAGATAAAGGCCAAGATGTGATACGGACTTCAATCCCCACTAGAAAGTAACGAGGCGTCCCTAAGGTGTCAATATGGAAGCCACGTGACCCCTGAATGAAGCAAATTTATCCCTCTTGAGTGAATTAGTATCAGAGTCTATCTAGTGGACTCTTAGAATCTGCAGCACTGCCACCAAGTGGTAACAATAATACACCTCTCTTTGCTGTCAGCTGAGGGCTCATGGTGTCAACTGTAGAATAATACCAACAAAAGGAACTTTTATCCCTCCCAGTCAGAGAGCTATCAGAGGATGACTAATCAGCGGCAAGAACCCCACAGTAACAATGAGCATGTGGGGTCAATGGAGGCTGAATGAGGATCTTAGACTTCTATCATGACTTGACAATAACGAAACTGTTATTACTGGGCATGCTCCCAACATCACCTTTCCCTACTGAAGTGATGTCAGACAAGCCCAGTTAAAACAGAAGGTTTGAATAAAATCCAGAATCTCATATCCATAATATCAATCACTCATAATCCCAAGAACAACAAAAATCTCAAACTGGATGAAAAAATATAACTATTTCATGTCAACATCTAGATATTAGATTACCTGATAAAGATTTTAAAACTGTCATCATAAAAAAATCTTAATGAACTAGGAACATCATTGAAACAAATAAAAACATAGCAAGTCTTGGCCCTCCCTGGTGGCGCAGCGGGTTAAAGCACAGCACTGAGAATCTGAAGCCACTTCCGCATGAGTTCGATTCCCG